TATATTGTAATACTTTTACTTAGTTTGTGGGTTTAGAACAGTAAGTCAACTATAAGCTCTGTTGTCACAAGATTTTTGCAATGTATTCTGTCAGCAACATATTCATTAATGACTCATAAAAAAGTTCTAAACCAAAGTGGTTATTCATTCACCATCATCCTGTAATTATCGGCGTCGAAGTGTAAAATATTCTTTTTTAAACGTAATCTCGTATAACACTGAGGTTTATGAATACACCTCCGGACAACGGTCGATAATAATAATCATGAAACATTCTTAAGAATGACTTGGTTTAACTAAATATTAATAGAATATTACTTAGTTCCACTGACCTCCGGTAAATAAGACTAATAGTAAAATATTTATGAACCATATGACGAACAACGTAAATATACATAGATTTAAAATCAAACATACGTAAATATTCATACTATGTCTGTTAAAGATGAACTACTCATCTTATGTTGTTTTCTATAACAGATAATTGGCTTCTAGTTACATGTTTTTCAATACTGGTATGTGTTAAAATCTTCCCCATTTCTTGACTAAGCAGTCAAAAGGGAACCCAATCAAAGACTGATTGTGTTCTTAGTGAAAACGTTTGAATTTTATCCATTTTCGTTCTTTGAGACAATCAAGCATCATTTTATATGGATTGCTTTGGACAAAGTTTCAAACGAACAACGATTATAACTAATTATAAATCAAGAGTAAGTATTAATATATATACAGTTGGTTGAACAGAGACTGATTTTCAGTGAACTCAGTGAAATCTATCATCTTACCATTCTAGAATTCAAGCAATACAACAGTCATCAATTTAGATACCAAAACGTTTACGAAGCTAAGTTAAAACTCTTAAACCGTGCACCATAGGGATTATAAACATATGGCTTGATTTCAGAAACAATCAAACCTATCCTAGTTTTATTAATCTTACAATAAATAAAAAGTCTTATGCAAGTAAAATAATTTATGGGCCTGGTAACATGTTTAAAATCAAACTCAAAAGAAGTCAGTTGGAGATAAGCATTATAAAAGATATATTTTTTGGTCCACTCCATGTCATTTTTCAAATCCAACAGCACAAGTGCCAGTAAATGCCAACTTGCGAAACAGGAAAAATTCTGGAGCAAACATCAGGCAAAAAACCCTAACAGCCACCAAACACACTTTTTAGTCTGTTTTTTGGCAAGAATAAATACTGTTTTCTCGCACGAAGATCTAGCTTAGTGTTTATTCGAAGTACGATGAAGTAAGTATATTCAATATCACTAAAATGAATCATTGATCATACTCATTTTATAAAATAACCTGATATCGTCATTCTGTGCGTTGATAAATGAGCAAGTCAAACCACACTTACGTAACTGGATATAAGTGTTCATAACTCTATCATGTATTTCTGAAGTGTGAAGACATCTTAAAATTGATAGAAGTCTGTTTCCTCATTCAGCTTGTGTGATTAGTTGTCCATGTATCTGGATGATCGTATAAACATCAATCAATTAATTATGCGAAAGATTACGAGAGAGCTAGAGGAGTTTATGTTATGACCGTAGTTTCACTAAAAAAGGTATAAACCATGCTATGTTCTATCACTTCTATATCGAGAAACACTTTCTTACTCTAGAACTGCTTTTATGAAGTGGAAAAGCAACCAATTTGTGAAAAGAAAATTTATATTTGCTCTAGTGCCGTTAAGTTAACATCAACTGGCAGACCATGATTATATTTGATCTATTGTAAAACTTATCTTATTAAGTTGCTTGAAAGTTTACAAAACATCCTAAAATCAAAGTTGTTGATGAATTCGCGGAAGTCTTACTTTAGTTACTACATTAATAGGAAGATCCATTACAAAAACATGTCAAGAAATCTTATTTGAATTTGACACTTTACTATAATTGCGTTGTTATCTTCATTTACTTTCTGCACAAAAGAAAAGGCTATACAGTTTCAGAGTAGTTACTTTTTATAGTCAAATTTTCTGAACAACTCCAAATACACAAAAAAATTGTTGAAATTTCGAATAAACGAAAACAGACAAATCAGTATAAGAACCTCTGACTTTTGATTAGTCAAAAATATTTCAATGACCAGTTTTATAAATTAAAAACAGTTGTTCATGGAACAGGAATAACTAATCTCAATTTTACTATTATTATGAATTATATTCATTTTGCATGAGAGAATCGTTTTTTTTTGTCATACATAAACGGCTATTTCAACGGAAATTAATAGTCAATTTTGGTGTAAATGTAACAAAGTAAAAAAAAATGGCTAACATGGTTTTAGATTTTAATAATGTCTGTGTATGTATGAAAATAGTATTTACACCTGTTCAACTCTATATCTACTTACACATAAGTGTCTGTATAGATGTTTTTGCAATGTATGTGCGTATGTTTACCATCCATAAATATTTCAACATACGAAGCAATGATGGTAAAGTGAACCGACTATCTTTGATATTTTTTTTCCACTAGACATGAAATACGATAGAATATAAAGTAAATCAAACAAATGTTCATTTTTAATAGAAACAAGGAGTGAAAAAAATTCAGTAGTTTGGTTTTATTTCAATAGCAAAAATACAGCGATGAGATTACGCTATAAAATCATCATAAATGATAATAGTTTCATCATAACTACATCCAGTTGAACGTATTTTAGTTATTTCATAGAACGATTGAAACAATAAGGTTTGAAAATAATACTATTAATTGTAAGTAACCTGTTTCTGTTTCTACTACAGAAATTGTTTGGTTTATATATTGGTTATGCTTTAAACAATAAAATCAAACAGAATATATTAGTTGCTAAACAGTATGTTTATATTGAACAATTGTCTAGTCCGAAGGGTTTATACTAAAAGATCAGGTTCGGTCATACTGATTGCAATTTGTTCTTTTGAGAAAAAAAAAGTGAAATATAAACAAAATCACCGATACACATAACATTGTATTCAAATAAATAATTTAACATAAAACACCTGTTTTTCTTTTATAAAGAGAAAATTTAGTCCGATTATTGTTATCTACAAATGTTTCTGAGAAATCATATAAAAATTTACACAATCTATCTAATGTATACAGTTTTACCAAGAAATAGAAACAAATAAATAATCCTTTTTTTTCTATGAACAATATATATTTGTACTTTACTTGATAAACAGGTTAGCACAAAACTCAGACTTAGTATTGACTTTGTATTATTTAAAATATGCAAACGAAAATTAGACTGATTGAAATTATGTGTAAAATGAGCCTTTAGATGTTTTACAACAGAATATGTTAGATACCAAACACAGTTTAAGAGATCATGTTTGGAAAAACACAAAAATACTAGTATTTCAATTTAATTTCGTAAATAATTTTTTACTCTTGAAATATATTTTGTCATTACCAATGACTGCCATTAACATATGAAAAATCAGTGAAGTCTATGGTAGGTATAATATTAAATCTAAATAAAATAGTTACTAGAAGTACCGAATTTGTAACTTACCCAATACATTCAAGCGATATGAATGGATATTATTGGTTACTCTGTATTGTTAATTTAGTATTGTGTACAGGTTATATTACTGTAAGATGATATCGGTCCTAGTTGCGTCACAAACAACTGATGTTTTGTATGATAACATTTATCCTTGTAATTCAGGCGGTAATATCATGTCATCGGAGAAGAACACATCGATCATTCGATATAAACTAAATACCCCTTTATCATTCAACCAATAAAACATGTAAATACAGGGGGATTATAATTATTAAGGAGATTTCCATTACGTATCAGTGTGAACAATGTGACTTGCTGGAAGCAAATTAATTTGACCAACAAGCTTGAAATGTAATTAAGTATCTTAAAACTCACTGACAGCCAGCACCAAATGTATTCAAGATATTGGTTATCAGTTTTAAGTACATAATTAACGGTAAGGTTACTCTTTTTAATTTTTATGCACAATTTTTTTGTTTTTACAACACTTCGGGTTTTAAAAAACGATTAAGTATATTCACTTTTTATCTACCAACCCTTGTTTATTCTTCATTAGAACGATTCATATTAGATTGTCCACGATTTCTGGTCACTTACTAGTGTCCTATACTTTTGAATTTATTTCTGTCAGTGACGAAAGACAAGACAATCGTGATAACCTGGAAGGACACAGACTCGACATGAAAAATATTTTCGCCGTACTTCGTATGCGACTTTGTTTAAAGAAATGCATAAACAAATTTTCAACAATTTTACATCCTTTTTGTGAGTAAAACATCTTGTGTCATTTCCAAAGTGATTTGAAAAGCCTTGTAAGGTAATTATCACCTATTTTTCAGTGCAATGAATTTTTGAATTCCACCAATGACAAAGTGTACCGAGATCTTGAACGTCACAAATAAAAAATAATATGACCTACTTCTCAGGTTTTTAAGTAGACGTAGATATGAAAGTCAAATGTTGTTAACATGATGAACCTTCACGGATAAATTCATTATCATTGCCAAAAAATATTTAGGACTTCTACTAACAATTCAACAAGATAGAAACAACTTGAAACCCAGTCATCAGATCAAAATATTGGAATAAATCATCAAAGTGATAAATTTAGAATAAATATTTTTTAAATCATACCGAGTACATATCAATAATTGTTGATTTCTGTGTAGACATTGTTAGATTTTATCTAGACTACTGAAACTAGATTACAAATATTTTTATGAACATTTCAATATATAGCTAAAACTACCATCACAAGGTATTCGTTGTTTGTAAAATCCATCTTTTCTGTAAATAAATACATAGTGAATTTAAAACTTTAAAATTGCATAGATAAACTCTACAGTTTTTCTCTTGGTTATAGCTAGAAATAATTATATTTTAAAATGATCGATTAAACAGAAAGTTTTGTGACCAACTAATTTATACCTTTGATTTTGATTTTATGCTCGTAACGAACTATATTCATCCCCAGTTTTTTAAGTAATATACTGATATCAAATTACAAGAATTAAAGTTAATTCTGTCAAACGATCTATAGATAGGTCTAAAGCGATTGTTTTGAGCTTGTTTAACTGTTGGTCAATGTATACTTTCTTTGCTTCGTCACATAAATTCTTTCCACTGTGATCTCGATGACCAAATGGATTTGTTAGCTGCGTTGTGCGTTGAAGATAACCGCATGGATTTGATTTGTAATTTAAAATTTCATTACTATCACTAAAAAAAGTCATAACGTTTTTATCTGATTTCCAGTGCGACAGAAATATAAGCCAAAATGAAAATGTTACAATAACAGTTATTGAATCAATAAAAAAATTAAAGGCCAAACTTTGCTTCGTTTTGCTTTGTGGCCAACTTAAGTTAACTGAAGAAGATACAGTTTTCGTCATTTCTGATTGTTTGTATCGTTTGTACCCAGTTAGACGTGAATATGATATGAATTTTTTTCTATTTTGCATGCAAAATAATAGTTCTTTAAACCGTGTTGCGTATATATAACCCGAACACAAAGATAATAAAAATAGTTTTGTACATATTTCAATAATTTTCACTTCATAGTAAACTTCAGCTCTTGTATCCATTCGACGAGAAATCACAGACTTTGCATTTATTTTACTGCGTATGTGCATAACCCTCCTTGGTGATATTGATGGGGTTGATGGCGGAGCTGAAGATGAAAGCAGTGAAAACCACCAAGATGGATGAATGTTTGGTAAGGTCAGTATTAGGAAAGGACTCAAAAATGTAATGCTCACGGTTAATATTTCTAAAAGTATCAACAATTTATGTACATAATACAAGCATTTCTGCTTAGTCACTTGTTCATAACAATCTGAATACATTTCTTCATTGTCTGACCATTCTGAAATAAAGTGCTTTGAAAGTTGTTTCCCCTGCTTTAAAGTTTTGTGACATTCTGTATAGTTCTTTTTTGTGTCTACAAATGAGCACATTGGAACACTGAAGATTGAGGTATTTCTGAAGGATTCCCCTAAAACGGGTAGAAAACATTTTAGTCAGTAAAGTTGCCGATAAACGATTGCTTAATATTTAAATGTTAACCAAAATAACAAATTAAAGCATCTCCAGCGGCTCTCCGACAAGTAATTTTCCATTACTTTTTAATAGCAGCATGAGTTGCTAAGTTAACACACCCACTGGATTCATTTAACTTTATTATTAATATTAATGGCTTTATTCAATATTATATTTTGGTACAATATAGAATTCTCAGCACAAAGTACTTCAACATGTTTCTTTAACAAAAAAAACTACAAAAAATAAAAACGACAAAAAAGCAGGAAAAAGTTAGAAAAATCTGAAAAACTGTACAACTTTCCAAATTAGAGACATGTTAAGAATGCAGGTTATTGATTAGGTTAACTTTAATAACCTATTTTTTCACAGAATATATTTGCTAGGTAAGGTATTATAGAACTTTTATACTTTTTCCTGCTTACATGGATTTCAATGTATTGACGTCTCGTTCTACCAGAAGATATACAAGGAGAAAGATATGAATAAAGGGAATGGCTAGTATGTGTTAAGATAACATCTGCCAAAAGTTTGCACGACATCAGATGTCTATCCACAACCATATTATTAATGACCTCGAAAGATTCGCCACACACCTTGCTAACCGCCTTCAGCACTATCCTCAATACAGCAGAGTCTTTTCTCAAAAGCCCGGGAAAGAATAATGGAGAAAAGTAAAGAACAATAAGTAATATGCAGGAATCTAAAAATTGTAAGATTTAATAACGAGTAATCCCAAAAGCCTGAAGCCTTTTTATGTGGTAAGTCAGACAGAAGATTTTCTTCGACAACAGCGAAACGTGAGGAGACCAAATGAGATCAAAAGTAAAGGTAACATCTAGATAATTGACCTTCGACACTGTGTTTATGAGAGAGTTTCCAATAGCACAAGCATTAAGAGACCCTAAAATGGTGTTTAGATGCTGTTCATGTCTCATGCTCAAATTAACAGCTTGATATTTAAACGGATTAAGTGTAAGATCACTACCAACAGACCAATAATCAATACGAGACAAAAAACGCATTCATTTCTATGGGATATAAAAAGGTAGAGATCGGCATACAAACAGTAAGATCATCCGCATATTTCAAAAACGTGTTTTCTGTGGAAAATAGCAGATCATGAAGAAAAAAAGAGAAAAAAAGAGGTGAAAAAACGGTTCCTTCTGGTACACTTTCAAGAGACAGTAGAGACTTTGAACAGTTTCTTCCAAGCACAATTTACTGTTATCTTCGAAAAAGGTAGGAACATAGCCAGTTGGTTATCCAGCTGTCAGTGTCGATGTTGATTAACTTGTTAAGTAAACACTGTCTTAGTATAGAGTTAAAAGCAGAAGTATAGTCCAGAAAAGCGCATCGAACATACTTCTTGCCCTTTTTTAAGTTGAACACCATATTATGATGCAGAACAGCAACGGCATCTAACGTGCTTCTTTTAAATCTGTAGGAAAACTGATACGGATCAATGTGCTCTTTTATTGCAGGTCGAAGTGGAAGTATGAATAATCTTTCCATTGTTTTAAGGAAGAGTGAAGTCTTTGCTATAGGTCTAAATTTCACATTCTTATCACCAGATACTTTCTTAGGTACAAAGATTATCTTCACCAGAATACTGGAAATCTTAAGGCTTTATTCATAAAAACAAGAAACGTGGTTGAAGGATAGTATAAGCTAACTATTTTATTTGATGAGTTAACACAAGCCATGTGATCATGTTTGCTACAGTATGATTAGCCAAGTCTTTCTAACTCATATTCTTGTGTATTTGAACTCCTATAAATTACATCTTTCAAAACCAATTGTATTATACAACAACAGGAAAACTCCACTTATTTTTACAGAATGAAATTATAAGACATTTTGAACGTCTAAAGTCAAGCATTTATAGTAAAATATAGATCTAAATGCAGACTTTACAGTTGTGTAGCCGTTTTTGCGTTAACTTGTCAAAAGTCATGTATGTCTGCAATTGTATCTGAATTTTTTCATGACGAAAGAAGAAACGCACCAGAAACCACAGTGAAAACCCTTTAATAGACCAAGTAAATAAAAGGTTCTCTGAAAGTTTATTGTTTAAAGGTCCTATCAGTCTGCCATTATTGCTCTTAAATTAATGTTGGCGGAACTCACTTATCTCCAAATCAATAACTTGAGGTTGTAGAACAGCACCATTATTATTGATTTTAATATATGACTGCATATCTTATTAAACTCCTAATTTATTGAGTACAGCGTACAATGAGTCAGAGTATTCGCTACGAATCTCGATTACAAAATGCATTTTAGAAAACTTTACCTTCATTTTTCAGATTTTTCTACAAATTCTAGGCTCTGGACCGCAAAATATCTACCTATTTACTAGACTCACTCAGTGATGCGAAACTACGATGGTGACTATTTTCCCATTAACTAAATTAAGAATATGCTAAATATGGTCGGAATAAAATATTTACTCTGTCTTTCTGGTGTTATTTACCGCTTAGCAAAGGCATTTAAGACATACTATTCACATTTGATACTTTTGATTTCATCTTTTGGTCTCTATAATTTATGTGGTTATTTATATGAATTAATGTCACCGAATCATAAAACGTACCCTATCGTCTTACAACAACTATTTCCACTTTCGATCAACATTTTAGTGACATGCTGGGGAGAACTCAGAACTCTGAAAACATTTGCAAAATAAAAAGGATTATGAGATTTTATCAATGACTACAAGTGGGTTTATCCAAATTTTTTGAAAATTCTCAAAGAATCGCGAAGAGTATTCAGAGAGAACCCTAAATTCATAAATATTTGCTCAGATCCATGGAAGTCTTGAAGTTCCTAGGCAATCTCCCTAACGTTCTTCAAAAAGAACGTAATTTTCCTTAAAATAGAGAGACTTGGTTCTCACACACCTCTCGCACTCTTTTCCAGTATAACTCATGATCTAGATGTGCTGGCAAGTTGTAACAAAACTGAACACTACAAATGTTTCGTTTACAGTTTTTGATGTGAAAATTAACAGGTTTATTCATGTTCAATATTAAAAACTGACTGATTTGTCTAATCTTCATGTTACGGATAACCGAACTTGTTCAAAGCAACAGAAGTGAAAAAACGTTCCAAAAAAGCATCAAGAATATTGCAAAAAGATATGAAGATTGATTTAAAGCAATATATAAACAGAACTCACTCTTTACAATGTTAACAGCAAACTATTTCAATTTAGTGCTCTTTCAAGTGAAAGTGGTGCATTTAAAAAGTGCTTCAATACTCAATGGCTTCTAATGTCTAATATATTTTCCATTAGCCTGTCTAAACCAACAGATTTCTCTGATTTCACTTTTTATTGTTTTAGCACGACTTTAGATACTTCGTTATGCATGATGAGTGGTAGTCTGGTCATTCGATAGCACTAGATCTACTCAGTGTGGATTTGATTTTTTGAGTTGCATGAGTTCGTTTGTTTTTAGGTTACTAGGGTTTCTGGATAACAGTATCCATCACATTATCGGGCAAAAGGTTCATGATAATCCAAGTGACAAGAGAAGACAATTGAATAATGAACAAATAAATGACTTAACGGTGAGACTACAATTTATGGACGAACCAATCAGATTTACGATAACAGGTCCTGCATTTTGGCTCGAAATTCATTCACCCATTTGGCTAATCGGTATCCTGGTATTATGGCTGATGTCAATTCGTGATAAAAACATAAATCTAATTCCTGACCCCAACCATGAACTATAAATCATGATCCTTATTCTTCAAACTGCTTTATAACCCTCACTTAGCCTCAATAAGTAGGTTGACACCCTCAAGGTCACTTGAGAGTCGCTCAAAGGTCGTCCATAAATTATAGTCTCACCGGTTTAATTGGTTGATGATATGTAATAGGATGGATTATATAGAATAAGGGTGAAACAGTTATGGTAATGACAGAGATGAGAACCTATCTGCATGCAGTGATGATAACCATGATAATTTATGAGATAAGCATCATACACAGTTGTTCCAAGAGAGAGACAATAATCCATAAGTGCGTGCGTGTTAGTCATGTCTCCTCTTTAGGCTATGCACCTAGATGGCTGATAGGGTATTCCTAAATGGGACGTTTCTAAATCAGAATAAAAGAAAAAGTACCCGGGTGTTTGCTGGTTGACGCTCAATATTCTAATTTCTCCTGGTTTACACCTTAGTTGGTGGTTAAAGTGTGTTGGCCAGTATCGTGAGGACTGGCCGCCGTATGGTTTCCTCTTTATCGACTGTTCCATTAGTAAGTTGTCCTGTACGTGGGCTACTGGTCAAATTAAAGCAAAACCAATGTTTGTTTTATTTGTCTGTATTTGCCTTACCGATCTAGGTTACCTTTCGTAACACTTATGTTACTATAGCGGTCGGTTTTCAAGCTGTAACATAAATGAAGTTCCTCGATTAAGTCCTTACACTTTTGCATATCACGGACATTAGAAGCAGGCTCCTAAAGGCATTGACGTTTAACATACAAGGTAGCCTGGACACGATGATAACTCTGGTGGTGTGAATGCCCGTACTACGTGATAGTTAAAGTCACTGTTGAAATCGCGTTCGTTTACCTTGTTACAATATCACTATTCACAAACATCCTGTTGGTACGTAAGTATTGTTAGGATTCTATTTCGGGTTTCTTCAGAAATGCACTTATACACATCCATTCCAGCATCTACTAAAACCGTTATTTTGTGAATTATCATACTCATTGGTCTTTGTGCATCTGCTAATCTTCTAGAGCGATCTTTCACTACCCATAAAATGTTGTGTCATACTCTGGTTTAAAAAGTTGCTATGGATCGCTTCGGGTTGTCAGTACAATTTCTTCTTTCGGTGTGCTGAATCTAGAGTTAATCTTTTACTATGTTTTGGCTCCTATACAAAAAGCATAGTTTGGCTGAAATAAAGCTACTTCACAACACTTTATAGCATTTACTCTACTGTTTTTCTTATCAAAAACTGCATTGTTTTCTAGCAAGCTACTATGAGACGCTGAGACGTCGAATAATATCAAGTGTTTGAGCCCTTGGATATCCTAGCGAGGATAAATGCTGTAGCTTCCAATAAGTTCTTATGCTTCTCGATTGTCAGTTCAGTAAGAGTACGTTTTCTACATTGGGAAAACACACCAGAAACACGAACATGGGGGGCGTAACATAAACCCGTAGCACTGTCCATGGATTTCTTTGTCACAGCGACAGTGAACCAAGCCACTAGATATTACATTCTATTACTGAGCCCCTGGATTTAACGAGCAACGAAAACGTGATACATTTATTGCCTTTGTGCTCCACCTCCTCAGTCGTAGTCTGTGAAACAGGTAGTTGAGGATACCATTTGTCCTATTTCTTTTTGCTTAATATGCTTACTAGTATTAGGGACCTAGGTAGGAGTGTACCGTTCTTATATATTCAGAAATTCAGTTATGTTTGACATGAGCGATCCATGTTGTACACAATACTCTAGGAATCTTTATCTGGTGTCGTCTTAAGCTTTCTTATAATACAGAGATGACCGACTTTTTCTTAACCCCTGAATTCATAAATAAATCTCACTTAGTCATCTTTGTTGTTTTAGTGTATGTACCAGTGGCAACGCTATAACTGCTCGTGCTACTCGATAGATTAAACTGTTATTTGGTTTGGAGGGGACGGACGAGGGATGAAATTTTCTGAAGAGAAAAGTTAGAGATAAGCGAACATATGATACAACAGAATAGAATGTTAAAGACACTCAAAAATGCGACGTTAATTCTGACGGTTTATGAAGGCAACTTCGTGTGGATTTAGCAACTGATTGACTGGTCCTATGTTTGCAAGAAATGAGCGTGTGCGTGATGAAGTTGAATCAACTAGGAAGAGTGCAGTCGATCAAGATAGCCAGATGTTTCGCACAATATAACAGCCTTGATATGATTACGGTTGTTATCGCAGTTGCCCCCCAGCAAGGTGATCACGCAGTTCGTATCCCCGGAATATTTCTAAATATTAGCAAGAGATCAAGCAGCCTTTGCGTATTCAGTTAATGTAGAAGCTAAATTTGATTAGCATGGTGATCTGTGGCGAAGTGCTTTAGTTATGTCACGTATATTTTTGTAAACAATTTATTAATAATCCAGTGCATCACAATTTTTCAAGAACTAATGATCCTTTCCCCACGAGACATTTCTTATCTCATTGGAGTGAAGTTCAAGTTTCAGAATTCGGTAATTAGTAGTGATTCAGGTGTGTTGCAATATGGTTTGAGGAAGAACAACTGTGAACGCAATATTGATTTAGTGAATTATAGTTAAATGAGAAGTGTTTTAAAATGAGGTTTTGAAGGCAGGAATGAAACGCTGTATGAAATGAGATGATGGTGTCTTTGTATTATCCGAATAAACTGAAAATGTGTGACTTAATAAACTTTTTATTGTCAGTGAGTATGTAGTTTTACATTGCGAACCGAATTCAGATACTTGACCACCAGAAAGCAAAAGGAACAGGGCAGCTACTTCACCTTAGCAATTAACTTATCAGCTGTGCACCAACGACCCCACTAATCATTAAATCTAGGACATACTGATGATACAGGAAGCGCCTATTCTTCTGACGACTGTTATTGCATAGATTACATTTCTAACATAAGTAAGTTTACAATATTGTGGGTCCTTATTGATGATGTCACAGGTATTCAGTGTTTGACAACGCTTCTACCAGTAACACCTTCTAATGTATTTCGTTCCCACCAAGAGAAATCAAAAGACAGAGTCGAGGAGATCGGAAGAGTATATTTGGCGATGACCAATATACCGGGATTCTCTGATCTAATCTGGCTAGCGATTGTGGTTGATGTTGAGCACGGCGTTACTACACGTGATCTGGTGCGGATGCCTGACCGAGCGCCTTCAGCTAGATGAGTCCACTAAAACATATGGTCAGCATCCAATGTCGAAAACTTACAGAGCTATTTATTTTAGGGATTTATTTACCGCTACAGATCACTCCCCCCCTAGTGGGGCAGTGACGACCCTAAGACGTGGCCAGCCAGAAGTTTAAACCCAACGAGTTTGTCGTTGGTAAACACTCTTCTGATAGCTTACTAAATTTAGCAGCGTCTGGTCGTCTTTCCTTACTATATGGGACGGAGGTACAACATAGTAAAAAAAGAAAATGTACAATGAAAATTTCGGATCCTCATAAACGTCATCGTTCTTTTCCAGCCGTCCTGGAAAAGAAAAAAGAAAATGTAAGTGCATGTCGAAATACACTCGTATATGCGTAAAAACACAAGGTCGGCGAAAAAAATGGAAAATAAACTCATGAGCACGTAATAGCGTTAAAAAATTGTTTTTTTGTTTTGTTTTTTTTTAAAATAGAAATAAAAATATATAAGCATATTAAAATTGTTTTTTTTTTAAAAAAAATAATATAAAATGTCGAGAAGTGCCTTACGTGCAATAGTCGTTTAAATGTTCTGGAAATCTCACCCTTCTTCCAGAACGCGTCGTTTTAAGTTTATTTTCGGATACTGTCGAAGTATCTTCGTTAGTGTTGGTTGTCGGATGAGGTATTATGAGTGGAGTCGTGTCGTTCGATTGTACCGAAGGAAAATCGACGTGGATAGGATTTCCTTCTAAATACGCTGCTTTTAAGCGATCGATGCTGATGCTATCGTTGGTTCCGTTCTTATCGACTATATAGTACTTAGATTCACGTTGAAGAACTTTGAAGGGTCCTTCGTATGCTGATTCGAATGGTCGTCGATGCGAGTCTCGACGAATGAAAACGTGTGTACTATATCGTAAGTCAGGTTGAACGAAAACATCAGTTGATTGAGGTCGAGTGGAAGCAGGTTTAACTGAACGCATTGCGTTTGTAAGCCTGTTCGTGTAGGAGGTTAGATCCATGTTCATCGAAGAGCACGAAGGATCCACGAATTCTCCTGGAAGTCGAAGTGTCGTTCCATAAACGAGTTGAGCCGCAGTGTATCCAATGTCAGCTTTCACTGCATTGCGGATACCTAGTAAGACGAGTGGAAGAGCGTCGGTCCATTGTGAAACGTTTGCAGCTGATAGCGAAGCTTTCAGTTGTCGGTGAAAACGTTCTACCAACCCGTTTGCTTGTGGGTGGTAGGCGGTCGTTCGGAAGCGAGTGATTCCTAAAAGTGTGGTCAGACGACGGAAAAGATCAGATTCAAACTGACGTCCGCGGTCTGTAGTG